GTTACTATAGTAGTGTGTACAGACTTTAGAGATGAATGTGTAATATGAGAAGACATGATTTTCATTTCAGATGTACTCCTGTTAGGTAAAAAATGCTTTTATATCACGCTGAGACGGTGTAAAAATGATTTTCATTTTCGTTAATGCTGATATGGTCCGTATTAGATGGGTCTATTGTCCCACTTCATGGACGCATTATTTCACTAACGGGAAGGTGGTTAACTATCTATTATCCCACTAATGTAAAAGTGGTCAATTACTCAGTATCCCACTAATGGGATATGGTTAACTATTCATTATCCGCACTACATGAATCCACTAGCCTACTAAGTGGTTGGTTACTTCCTATAACCTCTTAACCATTCTTGATGGAAGCACAATTATAAATATGTCATTTGGTTCAGAGGTCCCTAAGCACATTATTTCTAAAAGCTTCATACCATTTAAGAGTATATCATCTAAGAGTGAGGTTTTGAGTGCTTAGAAAAATCTTTGAAGAAAAAAAGAATTGTAGACTCCGACTATATCGCTAGCAATGACCGGAGGTATGTCGATCTCTCTATACTTTCGCTGCGTCATTGCCATGTAATCTCGAACACTTTATGCATAAGGGAAAAAGCACAGACCAATAATTCAGTACAGTAAGAAATTTTATATTTCAAGTGATGAGTATTGTCTTCCATTGGTTTCTTATTGAAGATCCAGATACAAATAGTTTTCGTAACATATGACATTGAGCCAAATTGGTGTAGTACATTATTATTCATATTTCTTACAAAGTTACAGCAGGGAAAGAAGTTTGTTATCATAACAAGATAAGACACAACACCACACAACAGAAGAGAAAAAAATGCACTCTGCGAAGTGATTTATCATCAGCTTGCAGTTGTTGCCTTCTCATCCTCAAACTAGCGGTCCCTGCTAGATGATGCGCGTTTGGATATGGAACAAATGAGTTCCCATCAACGCGTTCTGCATGAGCTGTTTCACCAATCGTGCTTGTACTAGACCGATGATGGAATTGTTGAGGTCTTTCTGGTATGGCCATGCCATCATCTTGAGATGTTTTTGTAGCTTGGTCGCGTCCATAGAGTGGAACCATGGTTGTTTGTGAAACATGAGCCTTGCAAACCGGGCATTGTGGGTGGCGTTGAGCTGGATTTTCACAAGGGATGCTATGTAAGTGAATCCATTTGTAGATACAAGGCCAACAATACAAGTGACCACAGTAGGTAACCACTGGATCATGTGCAAGATCTAGGCAAATGTTACACTCAAAACCACGAGAGAGATTGCCGCCTTCATGTTCATCATCAACCATTTTCAACTTCTCTATGGGCTTACCTTCTTCTATTTGCTTGTTGCAAATGAAATCCAGGGCCATTGATTGCTAATGCCCTGTTAGAAATATGTTGAAATAAGTTTATATGTTTCCTCCAACTCTTCTAAAACGCGCTTCTTACAACTTAACTTATATCATAAAACACCGACTATAAGAAAAACTACTGCAAATTTAAGTGTTTACTTGAGACACAGAAAGTTGGAGCATAAAAAGACTAATTGAAGCCAAGTTAAAGGACCATATTCTTAATAGTGTGACACGTTTTGGCGAAAATCATGACCTAAAACAAATTAGTCATTAGAAACAACAACAACAACAAAAACCATCCCTCCAATTTCCAAGAAAACAAAAACCTAAAATACGATACTTCAGTCACTATGTTAATCGGACTTTAAAAAAATATTATATACTCATGTTGCATCCCTCAAAGATACGCTACTTTTGAGAAATTCGACATGCATCTATCTACATTTTTAAAAAATTAAAACAATATAGTTAGAAACGTTTCAAAATACCAATTGAATTACAAAAAGATCAAAATCTTTTTCGATATAAGTGAATTAGAAATATAGACACAAAGAAGGAAAAAGGAAAATACCTCAATTGGATACAAGCATCAGAATATCCCACTAAAAAAGAACATTTCTAATCAATATGTTGATTAATATAAAGTCCCAAAAAGATGGAGGGGCTAAAAATAGTCATAAAGTGAATGGTGTGCTATTGAGTATGACACTTTGGTAAGTATATACAAGCCATTAGGTCATGTGTTAAATATGACTAAAGCCGGTGTTATACGTCAACTTAACTGTCTTAATTTATGTGATATATTCTTTTTAGTCAATTTAAATAAATAATATATTTTAACAATATATTTATATGTTTACTGATAATTTAATTTTAAAAAATATTCATTTTATCTTTAATGAAATGATTTATATTAGAAGAAATTAAAATTTTGAGGCATGAAAGATCTGTTAGCGTTTAGCCCTAATTTTCTTACTTTATTTGATTTTTATTTTTCTCTTAAAAGAAAGTCAAAGTATATCATAAATGTTTTTAGTAATTTTCTTCCAATTTGAGTTAATCCTTTGTTGGAGGAAAAATTAGAACTAATATAAATTAAAGACTTATTTTCTCAATCCAAACAACGCACCCATAATGTAGTTTTTAAAGAGTTTGTTTATGAGGAAATCTTCTCAATAATTTTTAAGTTTTTTTTTAATTTTTGAATATGTAGGTTAATCAGTCAAATCATATAATATGTCTTTCAATATAATTTACCTATGCAACCTTCAGTTACTCAACAAAACTTTTGTTGCTTCCTTTTTGAATAGACAAAACTTTTTATTTAAAAAAATATAAATATTAAATTTAAATTTTAAATAAATGAATTGTTCAAATAATTGGATATATACAAGGAGACTTATTCAATTATTAAAAATCGAATCACAAGAATTTATTTTGAAAAAATTACTTATATACAAATCATTAATTTATTTATTTTCTATTATTCTCTTCTTTTTTAAAATATTACTAAAATCTCTTTTTTACCTCTTAAACCTAACTCCCAGATACATAACCTCCCATCTTCTAACCCAACCCATGTTTCTCTCTCCAATATTTCAGAAATCACGCCATATTTTTCCTCTCATATCTTATCATTCTAATTTTGAATTTGAATTTTATTTATCTCTCCGATCAAAGAATTTCACATTCCTTCTTGGTATTATTATTTCTATTTCATTACTTTGCTCATAATTTTTTTAAAAAAAGAAAATCAAAATTTTGATATGTTTATGGAGGATCCTCCTTCATTCATCTTAGATATTATTCCGATAATGTCATTCGACACTAATCATGTTTATGAACATGAAGACGTAGGTTGGATTGAACACTACGAGAGATTATTTTCAAAGCTCAAATCCGTTGTTATATTTTAATCCGCCCATGATGTCAGGTGTCCAGTAATTGAAGTCTTACCTTAATTTTTCAGCTAAGACCTTATCCAACCTGACAATTAGTATGTAATTAAGTATTAAAGTCAAAGTTATTAGTCTTTATCACCCAATTTCTTTAAGGGGAAAAATATAAATATACATCAAACTATCATAAATGGTATGTAAGCATCTTTCGTCATATTTTCGGGATATTAGTATCTCTGTCATCCATAAACTAGAACATGTATGCCCTTTACTCTAACGAAAGACTAAATATGCTCACGTGGTGCAGTTTTATCCGTCGATAAATGTCATATCGGTGGATAAAATTATGACATGTGTATGTCCGTTAGTATAAAGGGTATGTATGCTGTAATTTCTGGACAGCTAGGGCACCAATATCCTCCAAAGTATGACGAAGAATATCTGCATACCATTTACGATAATTCGGGATACATCTAATTTTTTTTCCTTTCTTCAATATTAATTTAGGGTTTTCTCACCGCCTTTTAGTTTTTTGGGGCTACTCAGCAGTTTCCTAATCGTTAAGAGACATACTCTGACTTTCTCTAATAATTAACTACTAAGTATTGTACTTTACACTTGTAATTACTTTTTTGTATTTTTGTCTAATAAATACTACAATTACTAAGATCTGTAATTAAATTGCAACTTCAAAACTGTGTTCTAGAAAATCTGTGTTCTTTGTTGATAATTCTATCATTTTTAAAATTACTAAGTAGCTACAAACAAGAAAGCGATTAATGTTTTTTTGGCCAACCTCCTAATTGGCGTATTCACTACCTCTTCTTTGCATATCTGAATCATCTTATTCTTCCTTTAACGTTTCTTTTTTAACAAATTGTTAATTCTAACTTTTAACCCGACAAGTTTAAAATTAAAAACTTAATTGACAATTTGATACATTTCACATTTTTTTTAATTGAAGATCACAAAATTCAAAAATTATTTTACTTTCTTAAATTTAGAATCAAGTTAAAATAGGACAAACAAATAAAAACGAACATAGTAATTCTTTTTTTTTAATCCTTTGTTTCTTTAGACTGAGACACAGATTTATGCAATCGAAGCAGAGTATTCATGTCAAACCAAGAAACTCAAAATTAACATCCTTTGACATTTTAGATAACTACACAAACTGTTGAAGTGATTGTAACTGAGACGGTTTGGACATGTGAATAGGAGATATACTAATGTCCCAACGCGGAGGTCGGCTTTGAATAGTTTTACGAAAGGTGAAAGTAGGCCAAGGAAGTATTCGGGAGAGGTAATTAGACAGGAGATAACACAATTTTGACTTACTAAGGACATGACCTTGGATAGCAGGCTACGAAAGACACAAATTATTTGCTCATTCTTTTTGTTTCTGTTACTATCGGTTGTTTCTTTTACTTCAACTATAGTATTATCATGTTTGTAGTAGTTATTCTTTTTTTTTTCTTTCAAAATGTTTTAGTATGCTATCTTTAGTATATTGTCATGGTTTCTTCACTTCCGTAGTTTTGATATACTTGTACTTGAGCCGCGATCTATTTGTAACAAACCTCTCCATCACCTGAGTAAGGTTTGCATTATTGCGTACAGCCTATCTTCGATAGATGAGATTATACTGGATATGTTATTATAACGGTAATAGTACAAAAGAACAAAGAACAAAGAAAGGTAGCATCATTTGGTTGTTAATGGCACACTTTAGGTTAAGAATAAAATTGTGTATTAGCCAGCATGAAGAACAGAAAAAGCTTCGAAGACATGTTACATTGAGCGAAGCTCGTATATTCAGCATCTAATAAGGTAAACATATGTACAAATTACACACAATGTAGCGCGAAAAGTGATCAAAACAAGAGAAGGCATACCAATACACAACAGAAGAGGAAGAAATATAATCTTCCAAGTGATCTATCCGCGTGTAACAGCTGCCTTCTCATTCTCAAACTCGTGTTTATTTCAAGGTTATACGAGTTTGGACATGCGTTTCCAAAGACTCTTGCATAAACCACTTCACCAATCACGGTTGGTGAGGCCGTGTAGCTCCCTGAATGTGGCTGTTGTCGATGGTTAAGTTGTTGCGATGGAAGTGAATTTGTCGTAGTTGCTATATCCCCACTACATGTTGGCCTCAGAGGCCTTTGTGGTATGACCATGCCTTTACTTGTAACGCCGTCTGCAGATGATTTTGTTGCTTGGCCAGGGCCATAGAGCGGAATCAACTCCTTTTGTGAAACTTTAGCTTTGCAAACAGGACATTGTGGCTTTTGGTGATCCGAGGCGCCCTGGAATTGAATCCACTTGTAGATACAAGGCCAACAATAAAGGTGACCGCAAAATGTAACCACGGGATCTTTTACAACGTCCAAACATATGTTACAGTCAAAACCACTAGCGCGATTGTCATCATCACGCTCATCATCAAGCGTCTTCCATTTCTGTAAGGGGCTACCACGACATTTGTTAAAGGTACTCTCTGCTATCTGTTCTTCAAAATGAAGATCCAACGCCATATCTTGTTTCTTGATTTCTAGTGCCTATAGAAAACGAATGCCAAACGATTAGAAACTCATGATCTTAACTAGATACAACTACGAGTCACTCAACTATAACAACTTTATGTCAAAAAGTCACACAACTATCGTCATTTCACCTACAAAGACACTCAATCCCAAGAGACATTGCAGTGTAAGTCTGCATAACTACAATGTACAAAAACTGAACTATTGAAAACAAAAAATCCCAATTCCAAACTCTGTATAAAACTTATCAAACACCAATTGAACCACAAAAAGCTCTAATCTTTTCAATCAAAATACATCAAGAAAACCTCAAAACACCAACAAAACCACAAAAAAGCTCTAATCTTTTCAATCAAAATACATCAAGAAAACCTCAAAACACCAACAAAACCACAAAAAAGCTCTAATCTTTTCAATCAAAATACATCAAGAAAACCACAAAAAGCTCTAATCTTTTCAATCAAAATATATCAAGAAAACCTCAAAACTTTTCAAAACCACAAAAAGCTCCAATCTTTTCAATCAAAATACATCAAGAAAAACCTCAAAACTTTTCAAAACCACAAAAAGCTCTAATCTTTTCAATCAAAATACATACATAAAACCTCAAAACACTTTTCAAAACACCAACTAAACCACAAAAAGCTCCAATCTTTTCAATCAAAATACATAAACAAAACCACAAAACTTCCCAAAAAACACCAACAACAACATATCTCACAAATGGGGTGTGAAAAGTGTTTAAAGCAAGAGAGATTATTTTCGATAAGCCCCAAACAACAAAGAAAACACAAAAAGGGTCTAATCTTTTTTGAATATAATTACCTGAATACAGATCAAGATTGTCCTTTTAACTGATGATTTTCACAACTCCCAATCAAAAAAAAAGGAAAAAAAACTCTTCAATGTTATAGTGAGTGATATAAAGAAGCAAAGTGGAGATAGAATGAAGCAAATTAGGGGTTGGGCTTTAATATATATATATACAAAAAGATGCACCTATAGATGCAGAGTTTTTTTTGTATGTATAGAAAAATAATAATTTTTAGCGCGTAATAAAATAAAAATTAAAAAAAAAAATTAAATAGCAAAGTTATCAAATTTGTTTTTTTGGATAAGAGAACTTTATTGGCCTACGTGGTAATGACAAACAATGTCTATTACACTTTTTTTTTTTGTATTTTTCCACTTTTTTGTTGCCTATTTTTGGATTTTATTTTATAATAAAATTTATAAAATGGCAAAAATAGTAATTAGTGATTCCTGTTCGGGATAAGGATCAAATAGTCATAGTCACATACTCAATATATTTTTACGAGTAAATCGAAGAGTGTAGAGTTTATACGTAACTTGTTGTTGGATCTATTTTTGATATATATGATTCACGCAATTTTTTTTATGTGTATATATAGTAAATATCGAAATTTCTTTATATATATGCTTCGAGTGGGTCTAGATTGGCTTAAAAGTCTATCAAACATATTTTTAAGTCAGTTTTTGACTTCTAAAAGTCTTTGACAAATATAAAAAAATAACTTAAAATAAGTATAAAAAATAACTTAAAATAAGTTGTAAGGTAAAAGATAACTTAAAATAAGCTAAAAACTAAAAGTATGTCTCTTCCTACTTTTTTTTTTCCAATAAAAATCATTTTAATTTGACTTTACATTTTTGATTTAAAAGTAACTTTTTTTTAAGTCAATCTAAACAGACTCTTATTCATATTTGAGACTCTTTTTTTAAAAAAATTATAATTTCACTATTAGATAGATAAATTATTTCGAAAAAATTCTAACTAAAATAATACATATTAAAAAAACATACATATGAAAGAAATATAACAAACACTAGAAAAAGCACCATAAGTATATATAGAAAAACAATAACGACATCAATGTATTAGAAATAATAAAAACAAACGATAGCTATTGCTATTTTATTTTAATTCGTAATATTTAAATTCTTCTATTTAAAATTATGTTCTTAATATGTATAAATATATTATAACCTATATAATTGTTGCTCACTTTTGCCCAATATTTATTTAAAAAAAGATTGCCTTTACTATTTGAATTTATCATCACCAACCTCTTAAAGGCCTTAAATATCAAAATCAAAGTCATACTATATTTCAAAAATCCTTAATATTAAAGTCAATTTATTAGTCTTTTTTTTCACTCACTTTCTTTATTTTAATTTAGATTTTTTTTTATAAACTGTTTTTAGTTTTGTGGGACCTTTTTTTTTCTTTTCACATTGGTAGGTGTATAATATATTAATATAATATGCAATTTAGCAATTTCCTAATCGTTTATTATACACTAATTAATAATTATAAACACTACTATACAAAAAATTAAAAAATAAATGAGTATCCTACTTTACATTTACTTTCTTGATTTTGACTAATTATATTAAGATCAATAATTACGCGTGAATTAAATTGCAACATCAAAACTATGTTCTAAAAAAAAACTAAGTTCCTAGTGGCTTCCAATATTTAAGAAGCCGCCTTAATTTAAAAAAATATTTTGTGCTAATTCTATGATTAATTAAAAAATTAGAAAGCAATCAACGTTTTGTATATATCTATGAAAATTGTATGTTGGGTATCTAAGAACAAATAAACGACACATTATATATAAATGTGTTATTTAATTTGATTTAAATTGATATATATATATATTCTTTAATTTTAGATATTCATACGTAGACAATTAAATATACATATATTAAAGAAAAATTGAATAAGTAAACACACGAGGTTTTATATGACAACATATGTGTTCTATGTGGCATGAAACAAATCAGAACAAGTTATTTACGTGAATTGTCATGTAATTAAAGACATATTTGTTTGTTTGATTTTATACGAATTTATTTTATGTGAATTGTCATATAACATATATATTATGTTTAATTGATCACACATACATATACATATTATTATAATTAAATAGATTATATGCGCGATTTTAATTAAGATTAAATTCTATATGCACACAAATAAAATATATTTGCAACATTTTCAAAAGTATATACCAATGGAGACATCATATATTTTCATTTTAATTTAATTCCGTTCAAGAATTAGAGATTAAAATGTAAACTTAAAAAAGTCAAAGAGTTCTAAAAGTAAATCCTTGATTGAATATTATGTCAATTAGAAGTAATAATTAGGATAATGTTGTATGACAACAATAATATATTAGTGTAATTTTGCAAGTTAGATCTGAAAAAATAAGAAAAGATATATATAAATATTATTCTTGTTTTTATGACGTAGAGCTATACATTCTTATCGCATAAAACCCCAATACGATATACCATAAGCTTAATCCATAAGACAACAACAATATTCGATTAACTATTAATCTTCTATCATAATCCGTGATTCTATAAAATATTCTGCTATTAAAATTATATCTTTACTAAGCTAAAAATATATCAAATCTTATCTAATCAACTTTTCTCGATCTACCTCAGATCCACTATAATCGATCTTTGATCTCTCACACCTCCTCATCGAAGACTTTAATTTCAAGAGCAAAGTCATACCTTGATAGTTAAGTTAAGGCCTTATCTACCCTGGCAATTAGTATATAATATTAAAGTCCAAGTTATTATAGTATTTATATTATCACCCAATTTAATTATTCTAATTTAGAGCTTTCTTTTTTATTTTCACACTAGAGGCCAATTAACATTTTCTTAATCATTAGTAGACATACTCTGACTATATAATAAATAAACCAGTACTGTTATTAATTAATTAATTTGATTAATTAATTAACATAGACGAGTATCGTACTATACACTTTTAAACTTTCTCGATTTGACTAATTAATACCTTGATTAGTACTACGCGGTTGATCTAAATTAATTAGTAAATATTATAATTTATCAAAGTTAATTAAATTACAACTTCAAAACTATGTTCTTGAAAATCTGTGTTCCTAGTGGCTTCTAAAATTTTTGGTACTAATTTTGGATTTTAGTAACTTCAAAATAACATCGAGGGCATTTTTGAATTCAGATGAAAAAATGATATTCTTTTTAACGAAATTTAACATCTTTTCCGTTGTACTATATAATAAAATAAAATTATTTTTTGTGTAATAAAAGTTTTTTTTTTTATAACTATAATTATATTTTATTTTTTTGTAAAAATCTTGACTTCGTAATATAAAATTGTTGTGAGACAATATTAACAAAAGCAATAATAATGAAAAGGAAGATCACATAATTTTATGTGAAAAATTTTTAAAGACACGATCAATCGACAACTTCTATTACTTTCAATAAAAGATGATACAATGTTTATCTTAGCGTGCTCATCCAAAAGACAAAGATTATGACAAAGATTGTAGTCATTATGTGGGATTTCAAAAAAAAAAATACCAAATATATTATGTTTATATAAATATTAATAATAAAAACATTAATTTGTTTGTTTTCGACTAGAAAATGAGAGCATGGTGTGTTGATATTATCATTGGTTCGTAAGAATGATGAAAGCTTCCTTATTGCTATTATTCAAAGCTTTGCTTCTCGAAGAGTCTATGTGATTTGTCATTTGTCAATTAAAGAATATTCCGTCTCAATTTGTTTGATTGATTTTATTTAATGTTGTATTTAAAGTCTATATATTATGAACTCAAACAAATATCGTCTTGTAAACTAGTTTTTAGAATTAAGTTAGGCTTCATGTCCACACTCCATATAATACATGATAGTTATATTGTCTGCGCTCCAATTTACCGTTTGGGGGATGTAAGGGGTGTTAAAAGTTTCGTATTGTTATACGAACTTGGACAAGTCTTTCTTATGAGCTAGCTTTCGAAGTTGAGTTAAATTTAAAGCCATAATTAGTTAAACTTTTAACTTACCCTCTCCCAAAATCCTTATGTGCTTTCCCTAAACAAGACAAATGGTTGAGTGGGTTTATAAACCACAAATTTATAAAAATATATCAAAAAGATACTCTTTAGATAGCCATAGTCTTAAACATGAAACGTAAAAATTGAGACCTTAAGAGTGGTCAAAAAAGAAAGAGACGTTCTTTTTTCAAATAGACTAAAAAATAAAGACAAACAAAGTGAAGCAAAAGTATAAAATAGATCACGAATCAACCCGCCTAAAGTTTGCTTTGAGTCAAAACGGATCAAACGATGAGTTTAATCCAATAGCGCCAACTCAAATTCGAATATTAGGGTTGAATATACTTCCATGGATCAATATTAACACCTCTAATTCTGGTAAAAATGAACTTCATATAAGTGAAAAAGCTCAAAACTAAGTGTAGCTTTGGTTTTACCATTCAAAAGAAAGAAAAAAGAAGACAAAACAAAGCAAATGTAGCTTTTAGCTTTTACCATTCAGCAGCTTCTACAAGAATTTGTCTATGCTGGCAGTTAGACTTGTTTTGGGTACAGCACCAATGATAGCATCTTTCTTCTCTCCGTTAACGAAGATCATTATCGTTGGGATGCTTCGGATTCCATATCTAGATGCTACAGAAGGGCTGTCATCGGTATTCAACTTGAAGCACTTCACCCTTCCTGTGTATTGCTTTGCAAGATCACTGATTACTGGATGGAACATGCGACATGGTCCACACCAGGGAGCCCAAAACTCAACCACCACAGGTTCAGTAGCGTTGAGAACAAGTGAATCCCATGTTTCCTCTGTCACGCTGGGAACTGAAAAAGAACAGAAAATGAACCATAGAAGAAGATTAGGCAAATTTGTCTGCGAAGCTAAAACTTTCAACCAGTGATGAACCTCCTCCAAATGCATAGTTGCTCGATATACATCTACTTTACCAGGTACTGGTTATCTTCCACCAATACCGGATATATATATTGGCCAGACATAAAGGAAGTGTAAGTTTCTTTTATTACGACATTGGTACCTAAGCCAGTTTGGTCGTACCACGACTATTTACCAGGTACAGGCAATCTTCCGACAATACCAGATAAGTTTGTTCATCACGGCTTAGACAAATGGGAATAAATCACCTACTTTATCGACTACTAGGCCACACCTTTGGCTGTGTTATGGGAAGTGTAAGTTATAGAATGATATTGACAAATCGTTCTAGTCCAAGCTTTCAACAAAATAGATATACCCTAAATTCTTTTTGGAATTACGGTGCCAAACCATGGGATCAATTGCTAAGGTTTTCTCTATGTGCTTGAGAATTCACTTTAAATGTGAGGAAGCAATAATGTCGGTAAAAAGTCTCAGGAACCTAATACTAACAAAGTTTTACGTCTTCCTTTGAAGAAAGTAAAACTGAAAAATTGTGCAATCGTTGAATGAAAAAAAACTACAAAATAAATGGATAGCTCAAAAGTTCTCTTCCATGATTTCCCTTCTTTTTTCCTCCAAGACAATTTCATGATCTTGCATCCAAGGACATCAACGCTAACTGATCAATAGTAATTTTCACTGCACAACCTCTCAACATGCGCCAGGCAAAGCAACAATTTTTACAGTAATGCTTACTTGTTGGAAGAAAATTTGTAGCAAACCCTTTCAGTTTTGTTAGTTCAATGAAGAAAGAACTCGAAACTCCCAAGAGTGTGATGACGACTCAACTCCCAAAATAGGACGGAGAGTGTGCACTCTTCTTATAAAAAATGCACAGTAACATACACCACCAAATTTTTTATTAAAAAAAAGCCTTCGCTATGGGTAGTACTCTCGTTGGCTACAATGCATCCCAGGTCACTCTGAAAGGATGTTCTTTGGCCCCAAGAAAGTTAGAAGAAGATAATTTTACAAGAAGAAATATTAAGTACACGAACAAGAACTTGTTTGCCAGTTATGGAGAAGTATTGCTAAATCACTCTTATCCTTTGTAACACGTGGAATAAAACTTGTTTACCAAAAAACCATCGGAAAGACGTTCCTTTCTTAAGCTCGTACTAGATCTTGTTTACTATGAAAAGTCCTTCGCTCCAACACCAGTCACTCTTCTCCTTTGATCTCCTTCCATGAAAATCACTTGTTATCAATTGACATTATTTCCATGGCTTTAAGGTCTCATGATTTTTATATCAATCATAACCAACGTGCATACTCCTCAACTGTGGGTACATGCAAAATAACCACATCACTTTCTTTCAAGTATATATCTTAACAAGCACTAACCTAGAAAAACACTCCCATTCAATAGTCACATCACGGTATCTCCAAGAAGAGAGATTGTGTAAGCTGAACGAACCACTACCCCCCTACACATCTCTCCCTATACACTAATCTAGCTGATATTTTTATCATAATTCCTCTCATAGAAAACACTCAACTCAGATAGTGCTCTATAGCATTTTACGCTAAATCATGTTTATCATCAGATATTTGACTTCTCCAGCTCAGACTACCTAACTTTTTCCTCAGTACCTAGATGCGTTTCTCATAGTACTGAAATTTTTTCAGAAGTCTTTGTCCATCCCTTCAATTGAGCATATTTGAAATCAGCTAAGCAGTTCTTAGGATTTCAATAGATGAATACTAATACCATGTTGGGAGCTCTTGATCCTTCATGCCATCTTGATAATCAAGAAGATGTGACCATTGTTAAATTGCAGGACTTTTCCTATGACATACTAATAAATTCACCCCTAATCTACGATATCTCAGTGACGATGAGATCCAGAACCTGCCTCTGCCCCTGAAACCTTAATAAACTACCCACAGCAATTAGCAACAACGCACATTAGCTCAACGTCAGCATATTACAACTAGCATGAAATTTTTCATGATGTCTTGTATCTAGGATTCTACTTCTTCCATGTTACCAGTTTAAAAAAAAAAAAAAAAAAAAAAGGATTCTACTTCTTCCCTCGCATTAAAAGTAGGTCCAATCCACATTTTCGCAGCTTATAGGAAAAGGAAGTCATGTCATCAGAAAAGAGAGAAGAACATGCTTATATTGTACAGAATGTTGAAACCCTTACACGAGTAAACTGGTTGTATTATTCAACCTTCCTAACAGCCAGAGATACATCCAATATATGCAGCTGATTTTGGGAACAGAGGGAGTAAGCAAACATCTTCAAAATGCAATATGCTAGTAGCTGAAACTTAAACTAACATATCCTCTTCTTTGTATTTTTGGGATAACTCATAACTTTAATGTCCTGGCCAACTTCCGTACAACTCGACTAATTCCACAGGATATGTGTCACCTCCTACCCGCAACAGGTACCTAGTAACTTTGTCCACCAAAGGAAGAGCATGAAGGAAGAATTCACCTAGTGTTTTTGTCACTACTCTGCTTTGAACATGAGACGTCATGGTGCTCAACCCACTTCATTGACCACGCATTCTCCTTATTGCTATCCTGTTATGCTCTACATAATATTTACTCTCTCTTACTTCATGTAGCATGTATTTATAACTGTTGCATACATTCGTCTTTCTTTCGATGACTAAAAAAATTCATATCTTAGTGGTGATAGGTCTGTCTTTTGTTATTACCACGCTATAATATTTGACGCTATAAAATAGTCTACAAAAGCAGTTCCATAATAACATGATGTTTAGGTACTGTCAACCCATTTACAACAAGAAGAAGCAACAACAATGACGGATTCATGATTTTAAGAAGTGGATACAGATTGCACCAAACTAGTCCTTAGAGGGGTTTGGATTCTGTTGCAGATAATAGTGAGTTAACTAACACACAATCACAAAAAATTAACACAAAGAATAACGAGGTTAGATATAAATCTACATAGTAAACCATCACAACCCGAAAATTCAAGAAAAGATCATATCTTGTGAAAAATCTAATACTCCCCCATCCCATTTTTTTAATCTTGCACCTCAACTAATTCCACAAGATACCTGTCACCTCTCCCCAACAACATGTACCACATAACTCTTAACTCTGTCTACCAAAGCTAGAACAAATAGAAAGAAGTCGGTTAGTATTTTTGTATGGATTTGAACCTGATACCTCACGGTGCTCAAACTACTTCGTTAACCACTAAGTCACATCTTTGTCACCTTCCTCCGTCCTATTTTATGTGTCATTTTTATCACTTCACTTGTGGAATGTCAATTCGATTACTATTCAAACCTAAATTCAATCAAATCACCTATGACATTTCAAAATTAAATTTAATTATTTTGAAACTACACGCAATTCTTCTCATATCAATATAACGAAACAAATATTACATTTTAAAATGTTCCCTAGTTTGAATCTCAAGAAGCGAAATATAGAAACGCATGGTGTAGTAAAAAAAAAGCTTTTAAAAGGGGGAAAATGAGAACGAACCATCGAAGACTACATCGGAAGCTTCGCCGGAGACGCTATTTGTGCGGCGACAAATCCTTGAAGAAGATGTAAGTGAAACTTGATTATCAAAAGGGTTATAGGATATAGAAAAGCCGGTGAATTTCAGAGGGGCACGGCGGTCCCATGCGGCGGAGAACGGCGGCGAGGGGCGGAGGGATCGGCGGAGATTAGAGGAAAAAATTGAAGAGATGGCGACTGAATCGAGAATTGTCGACATAGGAGGGAAACTGTGCGACTAGGTGACGATTTCTACGTTTTATTATAATGCAAATGTGAAAAACACACATTTATACAGCCACACTAGGCTCCATCTTTTTCTTTCGTATTTATATCGGAGTCGAACTAATTCAAATATTTTTAACTTCGATTTGATACTGCAAACTGACTTCGACTCGAGACTTGACCTTGAGTTTGGGTTGAGTCGGGTTGCATTCCAAGTTAGGGTTAAGTCTCGAGTCATTATCAAAATTGGGAGTTAGACTTTTGATCGGAGTTGACAGTCAAGGCCCAGGTTGGGATCAGTTTTGGAATTTGTGTTATTGTTAGATCGGTAGAAGGGTTTTTGTTTGTGCCCGAGTTTGAGTTTGATGTTATAGTATTTGATTAGATACTTAAATACTTTAAGGATAACATTTTCTTCTTACTAATCAAACGCGAAAAAATAAATACCCATTAAAAAAGTCGTTTAAAAAAAATATTCATACCAAATACACTCTTAGGGCTGTTTGATCGTGCGATATAAAATCATGAGTTGAAGTTGTAATTTTGTTTGGACATGCAATTTGAACGTTTTATGTTGTGTATTTTTTCAAAAACATAAAAACATAATAAGTTGAAAAACTATTAAAATTGTGCCAATATTTTTATATAATCTTACAAAATTAATAAAAATTTATAAAATCGCATAGTACAATATCACAAAGCTATTCTTTAAAAAAAATATTTATTAATCAAACATTAATTTAATAGAAAGATTAAACATTTATTGTTCAAGCTAAGAAAATTATTTTTTACCAATTAATGCCATAGTGGTCTGTCAACTTGTCCGCTTAATATAACGATAAAAAACTATTTTTTTACTAAATGTTAGATTTGAATGAATAAGTAATAAATTTGGTTGATAAATTAATTTAATAAAAAATATAATAAACAATATAAATAGTAAAGTAAGAATTGATTTGAAGTAATAATTAATTTTATATTAGTGATAATGATCGCTATATGATATACAAATAAATTTGAGACGTAATGATATAAATTGTAATTTTTTTCTCTTTTATTTTTTACATATAAAATAAATAGTTATCAGATATAAATATTAGTTTTTTTTATACAACATACAAACTTGTGGATCAATTTTTATATTTGTAAAATCCTAAATCATGATTTGAAATTCTCAAATCATGTTTTTTTTTAAAAAAAATTGAAATGTTATATCTCAATATGAAATTATGTTAGTGAAAAAACTTACAAGATAATAAAATTGCAAGATTACAATTGAAAATAAAATGAAGAAAGTAATCTGAGGCGCGGATATTTCGCTCTCTTTAAGGAGATTCAAACCCACTGCAGCAAATGTTTTCACCGGTCCAGCAGTAGTCCTCTTTGACTTGTCCCCTCCAGGATACAACAGACTTTACAAAGTATAACTCAACAACTCTGGACAAGAGTTGAGTCCAAAGCTCCACAAAAAAAGAACACCTCCCTTCAACTAATAAGAACTCTCTTTAGACTAACTCTTTTACTCTTTGTTTTCTCTTATGAATTGTATGTCTCTAAAACCAAATGAAGACTACCACTATTTATACTACAAGAAGTCTTCCTAGCAATGAATAGGAAGATAATGGAGGTAGTAAATAGTGAAGATGAATAGGAAGATAATGGAGGTAGTAAATAGTGAAGATAATGACCTTAGGAGTTACATAGGTTACAATGGGAGTTACATAGGTTACATAAGTTACAATGGGAGTTACATATGTTACATATGTTACAAAGGGAGTTACATATGTTACATAGGTTACAAAGGGAGTAATGGAGGAATTAAGAATGAAATACATTGATGGATAACCAATGCTAATGGATGATGTAGAAGTCATCCATTCTTATAACTCCAAAATAAAGCAATTTAATATGTTAAATATTAATATTAAAATGCTAATAACCTAACAAAAACGAAGAGAAAAAATATATCAAAAAGATTCTTTTATTTCTGTATAGGCTAGCGATAACAATATAAAAGGTAAATTTAGTCATTTGTAAGTTCAAAGACAAAAATGGATTATTTTCAAATTTTAAATAAATTTACTGAAATTCAACGGAAGGTAATTAAGTATCACTATTTATGAATAATCTATTAAAGAGGATAATTACATAAATACATGTCACAGACTCGTGGTATATCATTTTAATTAATTAAATGTGTTATAAGGGTTTTTAATGTCTTTATGTTAATATAGTGTTTAGCTGCTTATATTTCTAATATGTAGAGAACATTGTCTAATATTTTAAAATATTTAATTAAATTATTTAAATTTTTGTATAATGTAAATAAAATTATTTATAAGAAGATCCACAAAGTGTATTATAAAAACATGGCTAAAATTTCGTTTACTTAATAAAATAATGGCATAATATATAAATATGCTCTTTAACTTGGGTAAATCTCCACTCGATACACGAAATGTAAATTGTATAAGGCAAGATTTTTTATTTTTTTTTACTTTTCACTTTCAACATATAAAGAAAAATATATTTTTTAATGTTTTACTAATATTAAACATTAAATAGTAAAAATAATGTAATAAAAATATTTATATATATAATTATTTTCTTGATGAATGTATAATATTAAACTGTTATAAATAAAATAAAGGAAGAAAATATATCAAAAAGACTCTTTTATTTTTGTATAGGCTAGCAATAACAATATAAAAAGATAAATACATGCCACAGATCATTTTAATTAATTAAATGTAAAAAGACTCTTCTATTTCTGTATAGGCAAGCGATAACAATATAAAAGGATAAATACATGACACGGACTCATGGTATATCATTTTAATTAATTAAATGTGTAATAAGGTTTTTTAATGTCTTTATGTTAATATAATGTTTAGCTGCTTATATTTCTAATATCTAGAGAACATTGTCTAATATTTTAAAATATTTAATTAAATTATTTAAATTTTTGTATAATGTAAATAAAATTATTTATAATAAGATCCACGTGTATTATAAAAACATGGCAAAAATTTTGTTTACTTAATAAAATAGTGTATAAATATGCTCTTTAATTTGGATCACATTTATGTCTTACATGTCATTTTTTGTCCTACATGATGTCCTACGTGTATTGTGCCCCTCCCCTATTTGACGATCCCCGTGAAGGGTTAAACATGGAGGGAACAATTAAATATGGTCAAATTTTTTAAGTTAGACTATTTTAGTTTCCTATCCATAGCTATGTCGTTTTAATCCACATTCTAAGCCATGTATAAATATTTAAGTCCTGTTTTACTTCAAGATCTCCAATTCACCCTAACTTTTGAGACGTAATTATTAAGGTGATATTCATCATGTTGGGAATAAATTCGTAACAGAAATAATATTTGCGGTAATAAAGGCAATAAATGCGGAACACAATAATACGGTTAATCAACGAGAATAAAAGAGAAATAATGACACCAAGATTTTACGTGGAAACCCTCCTAAATAAGGGGAAAATCACGACTAGAGAGGAGCAACGAATATCACTATAGTAAGGATTTTACACTTGTATGTCTAAGTAAAACTCCAAAGACCACTACACATTCAAAAGAAATAACACTCTTTTGATTTTTCCACCTCACTACAATACCGCTCACACTCTCTATTTTTCCTCACAAATTATTTTCTTCTGTGATGCCTCACTCTTTTTTCTCTCCTTTGTAATTCTTTTTTGGTGCATTTTTTAAATGAGCAAGAGCTCTGTATTTATAGGAAAAATCTACTCCTAATGATGTCACCAGTGACCTCACAAAAAACACAAAATTTCAATCTTTTCACCTATGCAGATTTTTTGGTAAGATTTTAGTTGAAAATTAAGTAAAGCTGAAAAATAATTCAGCACCAAATCTGTCAAACTTTGAAATTGACAGAGAGTTATTCAAAGTTTGCTACATGGAGATGGACCCCACACATCAATGGAGTCTTTCTTACCTTGGGTTTCAAAATTTTTGAAATTTAATTATTAAGGTATGTTGGTATTCATCAATGGAATTTTTCCTCCCTTGGGTTTCAAAATCTTCCAATTTTATAAGTTCATATTATCAATTCAAAGTTAGGATTTTATATAATATTCATTAATTTTTTTCAACTATGATTCAATTACCTATTGTGTATCATATATATATATATATATATATATATATATATATATATATATATATATATATATATATGACATGAATTGAATTAACTACATATTTTTTAGTTAAATTAATATGAACTTATTTATGAAGATACACATGTTTTTATAGAATTGATGTAAATGACTAAAGGATGCTTTTAGATGAAAGTATCAACGCAATTGTGTAAGATTTTCTTATCTAGGGATTCACAAGGATGAAATATTTTTTCACCCAAGTTGAATCAAAATTTTGAGAGCTGTTCTAAATGACTTTTAACTTGGATTGGTAGCTTAAGTGTGTTTTTACATGAATGAAGAAATAAATATTATTATTAATGACTATTATGTGGAAGTTTACTAAACACGGAGGACGTTGAGTCGGAGGCTCTCCCGTTAATAAAGGTTGAGCCTCTAGTAGCAGTCTCCTTATTCCTAACTACATGTCCGATAGGATGTCGTAGCTGGTGGATCAACTTAAGTTAGAAGTTATGTTACTTGAAAAGAAGGTGATTGGATATGTAATTTGTTAGGTTATTAGCATTTTAATATTAATATTTAACATATTAAATTGCTTTATTTTGGAGTTATAAGAATGGATGACTTCTACATCATCCATTAGCATTGGTTATCCATCAATGTATTTCATTCTTAATTCCTCCATTACTCCCTTTGTAACCTATGTAACATATGTAACTCCCTTTGTAACATATGTAACCTATGTAACTCCCATTGTAACTTATGTAACCTATGTAACTCCCATTGTAACCTATGTAACTCCTAAGGCCATTATCTTCACTATTTACTACCTCCATTATCTTCCTATTCATTGCTAGGAAGACTTCTTGTAGTATAAATAGTGGTAGTCTTCATTTGGTTTTAGAGACATACAATTCATA